GGGAAGTGGTAAAGGCAGATTAGAATGCAGCTGCTTTAGAACTAATCCCTTAACAAATTAACTTCTTACATTTGGGACATAAAGGCCAAGAATCCCCTAATTCAAGATTGCAGACTCCCGTTCTTGTGGCTTTGCTGAGTTAGTGAAACTGCAGAACAGATCGTCCTTGATCAGCTTACTCTTCCTTACCAAGGATGACACAAACTATTAATACCACGTTTGATTTTCAATTGCACTATTCTTTAATTTTTTTATTTTTCAAATTAATAAGACTCGTCATTTCAATTAACATGGTAATTTTTATCTAAAATACTGTTTTCCCTTTTTTAAGCACGTTGTTGTTGTTGTTGTTATGTGCTGTCGAGTTGGACCCAACTCATAGCGACCCCTCCTTGGGTTGCTGAGGCAGTATCACTACGGAAGTAGATTGTCCCATCTTCTTTCCCAGGAGTGGCTGGTGGGTTTGAACCGCCAGCCTTCTGGTTAGCAGTTCAGTGCCTTAGGCACTACACCACCAGAGCTCATTTTAAGCACATTAGGGTATGCTTATCAGTCTACCATACTGAAATGACTACCTTCAGTTCTTTTCTGGAGGATGACATTTCAGTGGACGAATGCCACTGGCTGGGCACTTGGGTAAGAGGAAGCTATTTGGCAGAGAATCCCAATGATTAGAAAAAAAAAAAGTCTCATGTCCTCCAGGCTTAGGTAAGGATATTATTATAGCCACAACCTTTATCCCTGTGAGGACAGAGTGATCCACAGCTCAGTGGATCCCTTGACCATGTCATAGGAGCTCTGGTGGCAGAGTGGGTAAGGCATTTGGCTCCTAATCAGAAGGTCAGCAGTTCAAACCTGCCAGCTGCTCTGTGGGAGGGAGATGAGGCCTCAATAAAGATTTATAGCTTTGGAAACCCAATGGCAGTCATTATGAGTCAGAATTGACTTGATGGCAGTGGGTTTGGTTTGGTTTTGGTTTTACCAGAACTAGGGCATTCAAATCTACTACGGTGCCCACTGATTCCGATGACACCAGCATTATAAATTGAGGAGTACCACTCCCCTCATTTTCTGGATCACTAGTTTTATGTAGTATGTAATTACTTGATAAAAATACCAAACTTTAAGTGTTATAATCTGACTCTAAAAAGGACTTAACCCACAGAAATATTTGTCTAAGATACTAGGATATGATTAGGTTCATAACAATATTAATCGTTATATTCAAAATTGCAAAATCCAAAGGTTCATTAGTAGAAGATGAATTAAATTACAGCTTGTCAATAAAATTGAATCTGTATAGATAAGAAAAATGAGATACCATAATCAGTTTTATATATGTGTATATATGCATGAAAAAAATGTCCAAGATTATTTAAGTAGAAAACAAAT